AGAATGAAAACAAGCACCAGATATTTCTCCCGCAGCAAACTGGTAATTAACTGAGTTAGCACCTAAGTGACACAGTAGTACTACAGTAATAGGTATGGGCATGTGGGAGGCGGGAGGGGCGGTTATACCATACCTTAAGGAGTTGAGATGTTGCACCATCTGGGGGATGGTCATGATGAGACTCAGACTTTGGGGGAGGGGGGAAATGGGCATTTATTGAAACCTTAAAATCTGTACCCCCATAATATGCTGAAATAAAAAAAAATTTATGTTACTTGTTAAATTTGTTCTTAAGTATTTTATTCTTTTTATGCTATTATAAATAGAATTCTGTTCTTAATTTAATTTCCAGTTTACTTATTGCTACTATATGGAGAGGAGATATAACTCATTTTTAAAATTTATATCAAAGTATTACAGGGGAGCAAATCTTTTGGTTACATGGATCACTTTTATAACACCTGAGTCATGTTTATAAGTGTGCCGGTCACCCAGTGTTCACTATATCCACTAGGTAGGTTTCTGCCAATTCCCACCTCCCCCCTAATAGATTTCCATTGAGTTATACTTCCCTCTGTGCACATGTGTGCTCACTGGTTAATTCCAGTTTAGTAGTGAGTACATATGATGTTTGTTTTTCCATTGTTTAGATATTTCATTTAGAATGATAGTCTTCAGTTTCATCCATATTGTTACAAAAGGCATTAAATCATCCTTCTTTGTGGCTGAGTAGTATTCGATGTACATATACCATATTTGTTAATTCCCTCATGAATTGATGGGCATTTGGGTTGATTCCACATCTTTGCAATTGTGAACTGTGCTGCAATAAACATTCAAGTGCAGTTGTATTTTTGGTAAGACGCCTTCTTTTCCTTTTGGTAAATACCCAGTAGTGGGATCACTGGATTTAATGAGAGATCTACATTTAAGTCTTTGAGGAATCTCCATACTGTTTTCCACAGATGTTGTGCTAATTTGTCCCACAAACAGTGTATAAGCATTCCTTTCTCTCTGCATTCATGTAATATCTATTGTTTTTTGGACTCTTTAATAAAAGCTATTTTAACTGAGGTAAGGTTATATCTCATTGTAGTTTTAATTTGCATTTCCTAATGGTAGTAATGTTGAGCATTTTTTCATATGTTTATTGGTCATTTGTCTTCTTTAGAAATGCTTTTGTTCATGTCTTTTGTCCACTTTTAATGGGGTTGTTTGATATTTTTTCTTGCTGATTTGCTTGAGTTCTTTGTAGATTCTGGTTATTAGCCCTTTATTGGATTATAGCTTGCAAATATTTTCTCCCATTCTATAGGTTGTCTATTTGCTATGGTGATTATTTCCTAGGCTGTGTAGAAGCTGTTTAAGTTAATCAAGTCCCATTTATTTATTTTTAGTGTTGCTGTAATTGCCATTGGAGTCTTCTCCATTAATTCTTTGCCTAAGTCAATATCTAGAAGAATTCTTCCAACATTTTCTTCTAGAGTTCTTATGGTTTCATGACTTATATTTAAGTCTTTCATCCAACTTGAATTAATTTTGTAGTGGTGAGAGATATGGATCCTGTTTTGTTATGCATTTTGCTATCCAGTTGTTGCAGCACCATTTATTAAATAGGGTTTTTTTCCCTCAGTGTATATTGTTGTCTGCTTTGTCAAAGATACTTGGCTGTATATGGATGGTTTTATGTCTGAGTTTTCTATCATGTTCCATTGGTATATATCTCTATTTTTATGCCAATACTATGCCATTTTGGTTATTATAATATTATAGTAAAGATTAAAGTCTAGTAAAGTGATGCTTGCAGAATTATTCTTTTTGCTTAAGTTTGCTTTGGCTATCGGCGCTCTTTTCTGGTTCCAAACAAAGCATATAATTATTTTTTCTAAATATGTGAAATATGACATTGGTATTTTGATGGAGATTGCATTGAGTCTATAAATCACTTTGGGTAGTATGGACATTTTAACAATGTTGTGTCTCCTGATCCATGAGCACTGTATGCTTTTCTGTTTGTTTGTATCATCAGTGATTTCTTTCCTCAGTGTTTCATAGTTCTACTTGTAGAGTTCTTTGACCTCCTTCATTAAGTATATTCCTAGGTATTTTATTTTCTTTGTAGCTATTGTGAGTGGTATTGAGTCTTAGATTTGACTCTCAACTTGACTGTTATTATCTATGAATTCTACTGATTTTTGTACATTGATTTTGTAACCTGAGCCTTTACTAAATTTATTTATCAATTCCAGGAAACTCTTGGTGGACTCGTTGGGGTTTTCTAAATATAAGATCATATCATCAGCAAAAAGTAAGAGTTGAATCTCTTCTTTACCAGTTTGGATACCCTTAATTTTGTTCTCTAAATGAATCAAAAGGAAAAAATAATCTAGAAGATCAATTATACAAAAAGTTGGTTTTTTGAAAAGATAAACAAAATTGATAGGCTTCTTGCTAGATTAACAAGGAATAGAAGAGAAAGGACCCACATAAACTCAATCAGAAATGAAAAAGGAGATATTACAACTGATAACACAGAAATACAAAATATCTGTGAATACTATGAAAACCTCTATGTACATAAACTCAAAAATGTCGAGGAAATGGACAAATTCCCAGAAACACACAACCTCACAGGACTCAATCAGAAGAAACAGAACTCCTGAACAGACCAAGATGAGCAGCAAGAATGTAGCAGCAATAACAAATCTTCCAACAACAAAAAACCCCCAGAACAGATGGATTCACAGCCAAATTTTATCAGAGCTACAAAGAAGAGTTGCTACCCATACTGAAGAAATTATTTCATAACATCAAGAAGGAGGGGATCATCCCCAACTCATTCTATGGAGCCAACATCACCTTGATACCAAACCCAGGAAAGGACACAGAAAAAAGAAAAGAAAAGAAAAACAAGGAAAGAAAGAAAAAAGAAAACTACAGACCAATATAATTTATAAATATAGATGCTAAAATCCTCAATAAAATATTAGCAAACTGAATTCAGCAGCACATCAAAAAAGTAACCCACCATTACCAAGTGGGCTTCATCCCAGGGATTCAAGGACGGTTTAACACACATAAATCAAGAAATGTGATTCATCACACAAACAGAACCAAAAACAAAGATCATATGATCATTTCAATACATGCTAAAAAAGTATTAGACAAAATCTGCACCCTTTTATGATAAAAGCCCTCCAGAAATTTGGCATAGAAGGAACAAATCTGAAAATTATAAAAGCCCCATAGGACAAACTGGAACAAGACAAGGATACCCGCTATCACCACTTCTATTCAACACAGTGTTGGAAGTCCTAGCTAGAGCAATAACTCATTTTTTTATATTGAGCTTGTATTCTGCTAGTTTATTGAACATGATTATTCTATCTAATACTTTTTAGTGTATTTCTTATGAATTTCTATATACAAGATCATGCCATCTTCAAATAAAGATACCTTTACTTCCTCCTTTCCAATATGGATAACTTTTATTTATTTTTTCTTATTTATTGTACTCTCTAGCATCCCTAATATGATATTGAATTGGAGTCATGAGAACATTTTTCCTGTCTTTGACCTTGATTTTAGAAAGAAAACACACAGTCTTTCAGCATTAAATATGACATTAGCCATGGGTTTTTAGTAGATGTTCTTTTATCAAGTTAAGGATTCTCTTTTATTCCTCATTTGTTTCATGTTTTTATCATGGAGGAACGTTGAATATTCTTTTTATTTATTTAATTGAAATGAAATTTACATAACAAAAATTAACTTTTTTAAAGAGAACAATCCAATGGTATTTAGTACATTCAAAATTTTGTGCAACCACTACCTGTATCCAGTTCCAAAATGTTTTCATCACCCCAAAATGAATTCTGTAGCCCTTTAGCAGTTGCTCCCATTCTTCTCCTTCTCCCAACCCCAGGCAACTACCAGTCATTCTGTCTTTATGGATTACCCCATTCTGGATATTTCATATAGATGGAATCATATAATATGTGACCTTTTGTATCAGGCTTCTTTCACTTATCCTAACATTTTTTAATTGACACATAATAGTTATACATATTTATGTTGTTCGTGTAATATTTTGATGTGTGCATACAATGTGTTATGATCAAATCAGGGTAATGAGATGTCCATCATCTCAAATATTTATCATTTTTTTGTATAGGGAACATTCCAAATATTCTAGCTATTTTGAAATACACAGTAAATGTTTCTTAACGGTAGTCACCCTACTATGCTATCAAATACCAGAACTATTCTATTAATATCTAACTGTATTTTTATCACACTAACTAACCCCCTCTGCCCTTTCCAGCCTCTGGTAACTACCATTCTACTCTCTGCCTCCATGAGATTAGTTGTTTTTTTGTTTTTTGTTTTTTTTTTAGCTCCTGCTTATTGAGAACATACAGTATTTGTCTTTGTTTGGCTGGCTTATTTTATTTAACATTATGCCCTCCAGTACCATCCATGTTGCTATAAATGACAGGATTGCATTCTTTTTCTTTTTGTTTTGATATAGGGTCTTGTTATATCACCCAGGCTGGTCTTGTTTACTCTTTTAAGAGAAGGACCATGTTTTTAAATTATTTATAGTCTTTTCAGCACCTACCAAAGCATCTTTTATATAATAGGTTCCTGAAAATGGTTGATTTTAGACTTAGCCTGAAAGTCTTACCACCTAGTCTCCACTTACTAGTGACTCCATATATCACTTGCAAAGTCAGTATCACATAGTGGTTAAGAAATTTGACTCTGAATGCAGACTATCTAATTCATATAATCTATACCACTTTTTAGTATGAGTCCTTAGCAAGTTAGTTAACTTTCAGTACTAATTTTTTACATCAGTATAATGGGGATAATGATAGCCCCTGCCATATAGATTTATTGTGTGGATTAAATATGTGAAAGTACTTATAATAGTGCCAATCACCCAGCACTCAATAAATGTTAACTATTATCATTATTATTAATATTCAACACTACAGCTTTCTCATTCCTATGGAGGAGAAAATGATTTCAACCTGACTCCAGAAATCATTATAAAAAAGATCCAGTGTACCAAACTGATGAACTCAAGCCAGTCCATCTTGAATTCAAATAACTGGACCAGGATATCTAATTGCCATTCCTACTAAAGAACTAAGTGGAAACTACTCTTGGACATGATCTGATAGTGAGTAAATTCACTCTCTGAGTTCATTCTGCTCAGTTCTGTGAGATGGATTATCTCTCCAATGTAGTTGGTCATCATTTAATGTTATATATTTGTCTAAATGACCTTTTGTGCCATATGAAATCTTTGTTATCTACAAAAAGTACAATGTAAGTATAAAACCCAAGCAAACCTTCCTTAGCTAACAATGTGTTGTTTAACAAGGCACCAGAGCTGATTAATGCCACAAACATTGTGTCTGTTAACAGTTGGGTTGAAAGACTAGGGTATACCCTACTCCCCCAAGTGATAACACAACTGTCATTCAGAATCTGTGTCTTGCTTTGTTTCAAAACCCTGGAGCATATGGTATTTGTATCTCAGACCTTAGGGAATTCCTTTTTTAAGTTTAGATATACAGCTTCTTTCTTCATTGTGAAATGGTCTAATTTATTTTCTTCTTCTTTTTTCTAACAGTGGAATAATTTTTTTTATTTTTAAAATTGACAATAAAATTGTATGTATTTACTGTGTACATGAAGTATATATACATTATTTTGAAGTATATATGCATTGTGGGGTGACTAAATCTAGCTAATTAACAGACATGGATTACCTTATATATTTATTTTTGTGGTGGGTGAGAACACTTTACATTCACTCTCTTTGCATTTTTCAAGAATACAATATATTGTTAACTATAGTCATCTTGTTGTACAATAGATCTCTTGAACTTATTCCTCCTATCTAATCAAAATTTTATATTTTTTGATCAACATCTATTTCTTTTTTTTATTAGAAAGAAATATGCATGGAGAAACATTGATTATATTCTCTGTGAAGCAAAAAAATTATGAACAATTCAAAATAAACATGAAAGAGTTTTAGCAAGGATCAGCTAGAAAACCGCTTTCATTTTAGGAAAATCATATACAGACCCATGTTGAGAATATGACATTTAGTCACCATGAGTACCTCACTTGACTCTGTTTTTTAAAACAGCTGGAATGGAAGTCATATGATGATAATCAAGGTACTGAACTTGGTTGTTCTTTCTGGCAAAAAGTGCCGCAATTGTAAAGGAAACCATTTGGATTATATCATCTAAAATTAATAATGATTTAATGCTAGGGTTAGTGACTATTTACTATGAATAACAAACTACAGAAGCTACTTTATGTACCTCTTTCCACTGAATTTTCACACCTATTTTATAAGACAAGTAAATTCTCCCCATTTACAGAAGAGGAAAATGAGTCTTGAAGGCATACCTGATTCACTGAAGAACCTCAGTTCTTGAACCCAAGAGCCAGGACTTACCTCAGCTATAACTGTAAGCCTATGCCAATTCTCTTGTACACTTTGGCTTCTGCTTAGTTTACTATTTACCATTCATTTATATTAATAATTTTAAAAAGCATTTATAAATCAAAGATTCACCTTATTCTTTTGGGAGCTTTCCAGTGGTCCACACTATCTTTTCTGATTTTTATCTTAACTGTCCTTCCTCTCAGCTCCTCTTATGGAGTGAACTAATACTTTTCTTTTTTCACTCCCAAACAAGAACAAGATTTTGGTTCTGTTTCTATTTAACTATCACTTTTCACTTCCATTGCTTGATGAAATCGGTCTGTCCTTAGGCTCTGAGGTTCCTCTGACTTATTTTTGACCCCAATTTGTATAAAACTGCTGCTCTTAGTCATGTTTTCCATTCCTTCCATTTGGTCAGACTGCCTGAGATCAAACTATCCAAGTCTAGCATCTATAATCATTCCCCTAACTCTTAAAAATATCAAATAGAGGGACAGAAAATTCATCATTATGTGTTTTAGGTGCTTTACTCTTATGACCCTTGTGTGTCCACAGGAAAGTGTTTTTGGTCTAGTCTAGCAATGTGCCTGGCCTATCATATGTGGATCACTGCAATTTATGTGGCTTAGAGCCCAGAATAACTGTCTGCCTATATCCTTGCCAACGTCAGCCCTTTGGAAGTGTCACTTTCTCCTACAAGATGACTATATGCTTTTCTTCCCAAATGCCTATCACACCTATAATCTAATGTCTAATACTCAATTTAAAACTAACTTTTAATGTTTCACACATACATTTTTATTCCCCAGAGTAGATGTAAGCTCCTTCAGGTTGTATCCGAGTTACTTTTTATTTCACTGGTGGCATTTCTTCCAGTGAAAACTGTATCTTTTTTTCATGTAAATTTATATTAAGAAACTCTAATTTTTGTCAACACTGGCTAGTTTTCATCATCTATTTCTGTAAAATTGTAGCTTACATTTTGTGGCTTGAATTTCCCACCCTGCCTAGCTCTGCCTTCCGGAGACCAAGCTGGTCTCAGTTTGAGGTCCAGTTATATTCCAGTCTCATCGTTGCTATGACTCTAGGCTATTGAGAATCAAGGAAATCTCTCAAATGTGAATTGTGGCTAAAACAAGAACAGGACATTGCAGCTCTTTAATTATTTCTTCTTCCAAAAAATTGTTAATAGGTCTGCCTTTTGTGTTTGGCACTTAGTAATCAATTCCTAGCTATGTTGACAGATTGCTTGTGACAAGATGATCCTATAGTGTTATTGTTACGAGTGGAGGTAAACTTCAGTTATTAAGTAGTTTATTAAGTCTACATTATTGAACTGCTAAAATGAAGTGCTATTTTCCTTCTGTAATGCTTATTTACAACAGCTGTACCACTCTATGTAAGATCTGAAGTTGGTGGAAGGAGGAATTTGATATAGATATAATTAATATTTGAAGATTATTTTAAAATACCTTTTTTATGTCATTTGAAATATAATATCCTTAAGCTTATCTTTAAGAAAATCTGGAGTTATTTCTATATAATTTATTATCAGTACCATTAAGATTATCTCTTGGATTATACATTTTTTAATTCTATAAGAAAACCATACATTCTGAAGTCTGTTATCTAAGATATTCTAAATAAAATGATTAGCTAGAGACTATGGTTAAAAATTTGCCATTTTTCTCATAATTCTTTTACATTCAGAAGCTTGAATAATTGATTGAAGGAAAGAACATTTCATGCTTTAAGACTGTCTTTTCCGTTGTATGCAGCATTATTTACAAAGGAAATGAGGGAAGCTAAGTTGGTAACATAAGTATTTAGATTATCTCCTCAAATTTTACACATTTCACAATAACATATTTGTTGGAAAAAGCATCAGGGGAACTTAGGCTTACAAATTGATTGCAACTCCCCAAAGTCATTAGAATAATAAATTTATAGATTTTGATCTTTGTATTTTATATATGCAAACCAGATGAACCAAAACATTTGCTTTTTTTCCGTTTGGCAGTAAAGATGATTCCACAGCAAAATACAATGTGAAACATGAAAAATTATACCTTATTGAATATTTTAGATCATTTTTAAATCTCTGGGTCCCACCAGGTTAGGGGCTTAAACACAGGTGGGTTTAAGACATGAGCCCAAGGCTGGGTGCAGCGCGGTGGCTCATGTCTATAATCCTAGCACTCTGAGAGGCCGAGGTGGGTGGATTGCTCAAGATCAGGAGTTTGAAACCAGCCTGAGCAAGACCGAGACCTGGTCTCTACTAAAAATAGAAAGAAATTAATTGGCCAACTAAAAATATATAGAAAAAATTAGCTGGCCATGGTGGCCCATGCCTGTAGTCCTAGCCACTCGGGAGGATGAGGCAGATGGATTGCTTGAGCCCAGGAATTTGAGGTTGCTGTGAGCTAGGCTGATGCCACGGCACTCTAGCCCGGGCAACAGAGTGAGACTCTGTCTAAAAAAAAAAAATAATAATAGACATGAGCCCAGTAAACTGTGGCTGTGCTGCCTGGGAGAGACATTTCATTTGTGAAATCGAGCTCATGATGTAGGCGAACTCATCTGAAAGGAAACCACTCCAGACCTGAAGAAGTTTGAACACAGACATATCCTCTTCCCCGTGTTGACACACCAAAAGGGCTGTCCCAGGTTCCTAAGGGATCCCATCACCGCACCCACACTTTCTGTCGGGGCTCAGGTTGGAATCTGGAAAGAGAGGTGTGATGATGAAAGACCACAGTGAAAGGCAGCTGGGACCTGGACACCATCAAAAAATTACCAGTGTATAATGCTTTTGCTACTCTTTGTTGTGGAGGGGCAGGGTGCTCCCCCTTCTGTTTTTCCAAATACTTTTAAGGTTCGGTTGGTCTGCTCAACTGCTTGTCCAGTAGGGTTATATGGACTGTCAGTGATGTGGGGAAAATAGATATTGTAGATATTAAAGGCGCCTGAAGGCAGGGAAATAAGTAAAGTCCATTTGCCAGAGTGAGTTAGGAGTTAGGCAGGGAGGGTTATCCCCAGGTGATAAAGGCACACCTTGTACAGCCTAACGAGCTGAACAGGCATTTATTATGAGACGAGGTTGTTGCTGGGTAATGGGAACCTGTTTAATACCCATTCAAGTGTTTTGGTGAAAGAACTGATGGGATGCTATGGCATTTTTAAAGGCATTAGTGGAATGTATGTTGTAGGAAACGAGATGACCAACAGCATTATTTCCTTCTGTCAGAGGTCCAGGCAAAGGGGTATGAGCATGAATATGAGAAATAAAGAGGGGGTTTCACTGGATATCTAATAAGCACTGTAGAACAAGGAATTGTTGAAGTAAAGTTTGATTATGTATATCCTTAATGATAGCATTTTTGATACGGAGAACAAATAGAATACGTAACAGGAGTCAGTGATGATGTTTAGGGGTTCTAATGGAAATGTGGAAATGTTTTCAAAGGTAATGTAAGCACCCTAACTCTGCTTGTTGAGTGGAGGGAAAGCCAGAGGTGGATAAATATTTCCAATCACCATCTTTCCATGCAATTCCTGCTTTAGATTTATCATCCTGAGCCATCTGTGAACACTGGGCAGTGGGAAGAGGTATAGGGGAGAGTTTTGTAAGCAGTTGTACAGGAAGTGAGAAAGTGGAGAGAAGCTTGTCAGAGGGGTAATGGAAGGAAAGAGAACCTACATAACTAGCAAAAGCTGATTGCCAAAGTAAAGAATTATGTAAAGTTGCTTCAAAGCAGTTTTTAGGAATAGAGAGATATGTAGTGTGTGGATCTGATCCAAGCAATTGTGTACAACAGCATTCCTTAACAATCAAAGAAGCAAAGAGATCTAGAAGGGAAGAAAAGGTTTTGGAGGGAGTGTGAGGTAGAAATAACCATTTGGAAGGAATGATGTGAGGTGTTAATTGGCCTATAAGAGCAGTTGGAGATAGGGGGTTGTTGAAGATAAAAGAACTGGTTTATCTGAGTTGTGAGAGCTGACAGTGATTAAGGGTTTCCTTGATAGCATGAAATTCTGTAATGCCAGGGATGTTAGTGAATGAAGTGGATGGATCTGGATCACCCTTTAATATATTAGTAAGATGATGTATTTGTTGGCTAGTCATTCCTAAA